CACACACACACTGTTGATTTCCCACAGGTTTTGGACAGATTTCCAGCATCTCGGCAGCGTCCCTTTGAGTCCCCGCGGCCACGCGGAGCCGTCTTGGGCCGATTCCGGGGCACCTTGGAGGCCTGTTGGAGGCCATCTTGAGGTATTTGGGGCGGTTGTGTGTCGCGAGGTGCGAATCCCACCAGGCCTGTAGGCGTAGGTGGATTGGCAAGTTTCGTTTAGTCCACCGCCCTTCTTCTCCGTATCGTTGGGGGCGGTCGCATCAGTGTTTCGCATTGGTCGATATTTCTTCCCCCGCTCGCCCGGCCGCCAACCGCCTCCCCCCTTGCAACCTTCCCTGATCAACCAACAAGGCAACGTGCACGTGACATCAAACTCTTCATCATGACATTTCGCGTTTGATCTTGACAGGATTGGCGGGTGTGTGATGAAGCTGGGAGGGTCTGCGCCCACGACCCCTGACAATAACCATTGCACATTCATTGAGGGTGCAAACACCGTGCACCGTGCTGACCACCCGACCCCCTCTTTGCAGTGGCTTTTGATGCGGACGGCCGAGAGGTCCACATATTGCCCGATGTGTGTGGTAGTTTGCATTGGCGCACCTGGAGCAATCTGTGCGCGTCGGGCACCTGCTCTACTGGCGTGGCTGGGGCAGCGCGCACTCGGAGCATCTGGCGCACCAGGCGCACCTGCCACGCTTGGCTAAGCCCCTGGCACACCTGGTGCGCGCATCGCACGTGGCACGCGTGGCGCACCTCGCGACGAACAACTAGCGCGAGTATGGATTCACAATCGATGCCAATCCGTTGGCGACCACTGCCTATGCTCCATCGCGGGTGCTACTTACATGGTGGCAAGGCGGGTGGGAGTGATCGAGACACCGTGTGGCGTTCCCCTTGGGAAAGCGAGACCTCCCCCTACCCCCTCCCCTGTGTCTGAACTTGGGGGGGGGCGAGGCGAGTTGTCAGCGCGTCCAAATGTCCAAAGATTGGCCTCGGATACCCCAAAAGTGCCCACAAGACTTCACCACAAGTAAGCCCCAAATGGTCTCCAGCATGCTTCCAAGAGGTCTCGACCCTCGGCTCCAGGTGGCCACGGAGCCTCCCAGGGACGCCCCCGAGAGCCCAACATTTTCTCCACAACCTGAAATCGGTTACGTGTGCCTTCTCGCAGTTTGGCTTCCGATTGGCTCCTGATGCGTCCATATGGCTTCACCATTGCTCAGGAGATCTCCGCGAGAGGCCCATGAGGGCTCCGAGCCGGCCCCTTGAGCGGCCTAAGATGGCCCGGGGAGGTCGTTCGGCCTTCGGCGGGGGGGAAACCGTAATTGCATCCGCTGTTGTTGATAGATGGTCTCTAAGATGGCCTCGGGTGGGCCCGCAGGACTCCCTTGGTGCCTCAAGATGACCCCACAGGCGACAGCCATCGCGCCAAGAGGGCCACGCGATGGGTCCACGAGGCCTCCGGGTGGCTCCCAGAGCGAAGGACCCGTGAAGGCCCTGATGGTTGATTCATGTCGTCTTGGTTGTCGTCGTTGTCGTCGTCGCCATCTCCCGCCCGCATCCTCATCCTCCTCCCGATTCGCCGTCCTGGCGCTGCACTGCCGCCATCCTCTCTCGCAGGCCGCAGCTGTTTCGAATTGCTCCGGACTGTAAGTTCCTCGGCGGCCTCGCCCTCCGCCGAGGGTGCATGGCGGCTGCTTGTTGCCGTGCAGGCAACACATCTTCCCACTCCTGCCCATCCTCCTCCTCCTCCTCCTCCTCCTCCTCCTCCTCCTCCACTTCATCGTCCTTATCCAGTTCACGGAGTTTCGTACTGTTTCTCTTCCACAGTTGCAGGGCATGGGGAGAAATATACCACAGGACGTCCAGTGGACGCTACACCTAACGACAGTCACAACTAAATCAGCCCCACGACGTATGCATTACGAACGTATCACTGGCAGTTCGAAAACAAGTATACGCCATGACGCCTGGTCACAGGTGTACCACACATATTGTTGCAGGCTACTCCATACCAAAGCACTCGAGTAGAAGCAGGCGAACTATCCGCAAATGCCTTGCATGGTTTGCTCCAGGCTGCAGGCTGCTGATCAAGGCAACTCGCCTGGCGATCGTTTCTGAATGCGCTGGTGGGGATACTTTTTTTGTTCGCGAGCGCAAACGGAAGGGCCGCGCGCCGTCCAAAGCTACAGCTAACGAGCAGGAGCCTAAATCGCACACGAGAGAGAGAGAGAGAGGAAACGAGAGACAATGAGAGACCAGCGGGAGGTGAGACTAGCCGGGACGGGCCGCGCGGCGCTCACGGAGGAAGTGCCATCGGCAGCTAGCAACCGCCGGAGGCGCACGCCAAAGCTGGTGGGGATACGCGAAGCGTCACGAGTCAACTAACCGACGAACTGGGTTTGTCGCGCTTGTGTGCAGGCCCCTTGCCTGATGGGTTTGGCCCTCTGCCGCCGCCCCGGCGCTATGATTACCTGCACTCACGGGCTGAATGATTCACTGGCAAGTTGGCAGCTTGGCTGTTTGGCTGGCTCTCCGGATAGACGGTTGGTCGGCCAGTTGGTTGGCTGGAGGGCCGGGTCGCAGGCTTTTTGGCCAGTTGGGAGAAACCGTCACACGTACATTCAGATTTACTCACAAAAGCCATCTATAATCATGGCCTCCGGGCCAAGGGCACCCCCCCCAGATGGGATGGGTCCCAAGACTCGTCGGGCCCCCCGCCCCCCCCAGATGGGATGGGGCGGGAGGGGCGACGACGGCGACGATGACGGCGGCGGCGGATCGGATCGGACGGACGGCCCCGTCGTCGTCGTCGTCGTCGTCGTCATCGCCGTCGTCGTCGTCGTTGTCGTCGCCTCCGTCATCGTCGTCGCCGACGATTTTTCTCAAGTTGCAGACGTAACCTCGGAACGACGACGACGGCGGCGGCGGCGGCGACGACGACCTCAGGAGCTCTCAGACGACGACGGCGGCGGCGACCTCCCGAGCTCTCCGACGGCGGCGCCGCTGCGCCAAACCAAGCCACACACGCCACACCCGCCACACCCACAGCACCACACCACACCAACAGGGGGGGGACCCATCGTGGGGGGGGGGGGGCGATGCCAAGAGCATGGTGGGTGGGGGGGCCCAGACCTGGATTATGTATTCTAGTATGGCCCCATGATCATCTCGATGTGGCAGGCGTCGCACTTTGGCCTTCAAGTGGGGCCGCCACAGGGTATGAAGCATGCCATTTGTGCCCAGTGTGGCTAGACCTCTCGATTCTAATTTTCGTTTCGGAGGAAGAGTTGTCTCTGTTCAGAACCTCAGGATCACCATGATGCGGCTGGCGTCGCACTTGCGCCTCCCAGGGGGAGGATGGGAGGTGTGGGGGGGGAAGGGCAGGGGGAATGAGGTGGTGTGGGGAGGCGGGGTTGACGGAGAGGGTTTTGTTTCCGAGAGCGGCCTCCCAACACGTGTGGATACGTCTGGCACACTCAAGGACTCCTGGGCACGAGACGTGATTACTTGGCGAACTGTTGAACGCCATCAGGATGACACAACAGCCTACGGTTAAGTCGGGCATGTCCCTCAACAGGGGGAATATTCAAGAATAGTCAGACAAAAGTCGGTGGACCATTTTCTACTTTTCGTATAACTATTTTTGAGTATGTTTGACTATCTTTTATGTTTCGTCCAACCTCCCACTGTAGGGGGACATGCCCGACCTACGCCTACGGTTTCTTCTCTCTTGACCTCTGGTTCCCCCTCCTTGCCCTCTACGGCTTGCGGTATCCTCCTCATCCTTGCCTTCTGGCTTCCGTGTGCAGTGGTAAAATCTTCGAGGCACGACGGGGCGGCTCGGTGCACCGGGCTGTATGGCAGCAGAGAAGGTCATGCCTTGAGGGCGCTTCCCGAAACAGTTGCGCGGATGCGCATGGAGGGATACATTGAAGCACAGGATTTCGGTAGCAAATCTTGAGGGCCTTGCATACCCTCTCAATTCCGTCTCCGGCGTCGATAAAGGCTTCTGGTAGCCGATGAGATAGTGCCGACTCGGTTTCGATCAGCGTCGATTCGCAAGAGCCAGGACCATGGTACGGGAGGCTCCCATGAGTTGGCACCGAACGGGATGAGGACGAGGAGGAGGAGGAGGAGGCGCCCCTTGGCACTCACGCGGGAGTCCCGACTCCGCCCCGCCTCCCCTCTAGGGTCCGATCAGATGGGGTCAGAGGATCGCGCCGCATCGCCGATGTATCGCCGATGCGGCTCGATGCGGAGCACCATTTCCTCCACGCCGACGGGGCCGATGCACCGCCGATGCATTGCCGGTGCATCGCCGATGGATCGCCGATGCACTGGCGATTCGGCGCGGTCCCCCAAGCCCATGTACTCGGACCCCACCTGGGAGGTCTCTATTCGCTCCGCCTCGCCTCCCCAGCCCCCCCCCCGGGGACCAGCACCGCAGCACCGATCGGGCTCTCGGAGGTCATGGAATTCCTGTGGCTTCCGACGGTGTCGTGGTGTGTTTCTTTCAGTCGTTCACTACGTCGGATGTCGGGCCGAGGGGGGGGGGGGCGAGGCGTCGCTTCTGCTGCGCCTCGCCCTGGCGCCCTCGAGCGCGGGAGGGTGGGGTGGTGCCGCGCGCGCTGGCGATCCGACCGTTCCTCCCCGTGTTCTGTGCATTGCCTCGCGTTGGCCTCAAGCTCTCTGGCCGGTGGCGGCTTTGTTTTGGGGGGGGGGGGCCTGGCAGTCGTTTGGTAAAGGCGTCCTGGTCTTCCATCCCCCTCAGTCTTGACCCCCCTCCGACTCCTCGTCAGTGATACTGGTCGCGTCTTGGGCCTTCCTGGGGGCTGCTGGCGGCCGCAAGGGCCCTCCTCGAGGTGTCCAGGGCTCTTGGCGGAGCGATCTGGAGCCGAGATGTCGAGAGTGGTGAGCATGTGTGGATCACATCCAGAAGTGCACTGTTTTCGCGTGCCGGGACCTCGCTCTCTCTCCGCCCACATGCGCGAGGAGTTCGAGCGGAAGAACCGCGGCACCGATGTGCGGAAGAACGCGCGCGCGATGAAACGCTTGCAGAACGAGTGCGACGCGGCCAAGAGGACACTGTCGTCCTCCACCTCCGCCACGATCGAGGCGCCGCGGTCTTGTGGGAACTTTCCTGCCAGAGTCGGAGGAGTTTGCTCGTTGCATCTTATAGTATGTAATACTAACAAGCAGATCACACGAAACACACATACACACACATTTTGGCGTCGCGACCCCGCGCGCGGCGACGGTCGTAGAAAGTCGAGTCCAAGACGCGTTCTGCGTGCGTCTACGCCCAGCCGAGCTCCCAGGGACCATCAAGGGACTCGCAGCCGGGAGCAGCCATAACCATCCGGGCCTGGGGGAGGGGCAATGTGCGGACGAAATTACGGTGAGGGTGAAAGGTGGCATAATTAAGCCAACCGGGATTGGAAGGCGGGGACAGCGGGTAACCAAGAGTGGACCGACAAAGGAGAGCGACAATGAGAGACGGCGGAGAGGCACACACAACACACACACACACAACAGACACACACGCACACTTATTTTCGCCTCGCGGCCCCGCGCGCGGCGACGGGCGTAGAAGGTCGAGTGCAAGTGGCGGAACGCGCGCGCCCGGCGCAAGTGCACACGCGCACGCACACGCGAGCTCCACCCTCCCCCTCGTGATGCAGTGCGCCGCCGCGGCCCGCGCGCTCTGGGCGGCGCTGGGAAGACACGCCGTGCTCGCCCTCGGGGGACCGCGGCCGACGGCGCGGGAGCCAAGAAACGGAGAGGGGAGAGTGGATGGGGGGCAGGACGGGGAACGGGAGGTGGAGGAGGGGGAGGGGGAACGGGAGGAGGAGAAGGAGGAGGAGGAGGAGGAGGAGGAGGAGGAGGAGGAGGCCTCCTAGGTGCCTCTTGGATGCCTCTGGGGAGCCTTTGGGGGACCTCTTGGATGATCTTGGGGGCCTCTCGGGAGCCTCTAAGAGGCCTCTTGGGGCTGCTCTGGGACTCTTGGGGCCTCCTGGGAGCCTCTCGGGGCCTAGGGCTCGAAATAACGTGCGTTCGGGTCCCCCTTCTGGGCACCCTGTTGGAGCCGTTTTGGGAGCCTCTTGGGCCGTCTTGGAGGCCTCATGGGCCGTCTTGAAGTCTTGGGGTCCTCTTGGGCTGGTTTGGGGCCACCTTTGATGCCTCTTGAGCCATGTTGGGTCGATCTTTGGGGCCTCCTTGATCGTCTTAGAGCGTCGGGAAGCCGAAAAGGCGAGACCGCCAAAGTCTGTCAAAAACCGGTTTGAAGAAAACAAGGGTTGCCTCTTGGGGCCCTCTTGGGAGTGCTCTTTGAGGCCTCCTGGTGCCTCTCTTCTGGAAGCTATCTTGGGCGTCTTGGACCGACCATTCGGCGATTCAGGGTCCTCTTGGACCGTCTTGGGGGCCTAATGGGGTACTCTTGGCACATCTGGAGGCCTTCTTGGGCTCCAGACCCGGAACCCCCCCAGGACCCCCCTCAACACCACCCCCAGGAGCCCCCCCCTCCCCACCCGGCGGGAAGGGATAAAAGGGAAGGGTCTGTCCTTCAACTCAACTGCGACGTTGCTCGATTTCGCTTTGGGTGGCGCGCTTGAGGAGGAGGGCCCAGGGACAGGAGAGGGGGAGCGGCGACGGCGGCGGCGACGACGACGACGAGTCAAACGAAACAGCGTCTCGCACACGCGGGCAGGGTCGGCGGATTCCTCCCTCCCTCCCTCTGCACGGCTTCACCTTTTCCCTTCTTCTCATCGCCCGTCCTCGCCCCCCCCCCCATATTCCCGCTCTTCTCCATTCTCCTCCCCTCCTCCCCCTCCTCGTTCTCCTGGGCCCCCTGCCCGGTTCGGTGGAGCCTCGCTGGCATCGGCAGCGCTCCGGGCAGTGCCCGCACTCGGCTCGCTCTCCTCGGGTCACCCCTCGAAGAAGAGGCAGATCACGCAAGCAGGGCAATCCTCCTCCCTCCCTCCCTCCCTCCCTCCCTCCCTCCTCCTCCTCCTCCTCCTCCTCCTCCTCCTCCTCCTCCTCCTCCTCCTTTCTCCTCCTCCGCCCCGCACCTCCTGACAGCCTGACAGCCTGAAGGCACGAATGTTCGCCGAACGTTTCCCTTCCCCCCCAGGGCCGGCCCCCCCTGGGAGGTTCGATTAACGAGTGAGCCAGGTGACGGGTATCACCGGCTGGTAGGCTACACTGTCAAAGGCAGAAAGGTGAAACAAACAGCATAACGTGATGGTTTTGTTTTATCAATTGATTTGCCGATCGGCGCCCCCCCCGTATGGAGTAGATCTTGGCTGTTTTTTGGCGCCTGTTTCGAGCGGGCGGAGCCTCCCCCAGAGGCAGCACTCTTGCAAACATTCGCAGTAAGCAGAGGTCCAGAGCCAGAACCCCCCCCTCCCCCCCCCTTTCCGCCCAATGTCGAAACGCCGAATGAAAGGACTCTCTCGAGGAGGGAGTCAGAAGGAGGAAGGAAAACGCCCCTCCTGTTCCTCCTCGCTCGCCCGCCCCCCGGCTACACTGTAAAAGGCAGAAGGGTAACAACAAACAGCAGAACGAGGAGGGAGGAGAAAGTCAGGAGGAGGAGGAGGAGGAGGAGGATCATGAAAACGCACCTCCTCCTGACCCTCCTCGCTCGCCCGCCCCCCCCCCCGCCCCCTCACCCCCGCCCACCTTCCCCCCCCCCCCCTCCGCACCCCCTCCCCGCCCGACGGGGGAACCGCCCGCGGGGCCGGGACCTGCTCCAGGTGCAGTCACGGGGGGGGGAGAGGCCGCTCAGAGGTCATTTTATGTTCATCAAAGAGTTGTTGTTCTTCGTTACATGTTGAAATTCATGTTTGGAAATGCGTTGTCCTTCTCATCCTCCTCCATCCCGTGCCTCCCTCGTCCTCCCCCCCTTCCTCCATCCCTTTCCTCGTCCTCCCCCCCATCCCTCCTCCTGCTCCTCCCTCCTCTCTTTCCTCCTCCACCTCTCCTCCGCTCCTCTCCTCCTCTTTCCTCGTCCTCCTCCTCCCCTGGGGAGCAGGGGGCTGCCCAGCTGCGTTAGAGGGCGCATACCCGCAGCGTATGGAACCGATGTGTCTCCTCGGAAGGCCCCGTAATTCTGCGCTACTTCTGCCCGTTTTCGTTTGCCTGGGGCGGCCACGGGGCCGTCAACAAAAGACGACTCGGGAGGAGTTGCCGGTCCCCAGGAAGGAAACCAGACTTCGTGGTGGGGGGGTTGACGTTGAACGATAATTGCGGCGTCGCATGTCTGGGGAGGTGGATACGGATGTTCCGCTAAGACGCTGAAATCAGAACTACGGTGGGTTTATGAGGGGCTCTCGTTTTCGGGCCGCTCCTTAAGAGCTGAGTCGGGAAGTTCATTCGTGGCCGAGGCTCGCTGCTGCGGGAAGAGCCCCTTCGTTATTTTTGTGAGTTTTCCCTATGATTGCACGGTGACTGTATTCTGCAGTCGGGCGTGTCCTTCGACAGCGGGAATATTCAAACATAGTCCAAAAATAGTCAGGGGATGATTGTTCTACAATGTTTGATAATTTCTGGGCATTTTGTGGTATCTTTCATTTTTCGTCCAAAACCCGCCTCTAGGAGGACATGCCCGACCCAACTATATTCGGCCCCTCGCGGGCCAAGATCTCCCCCCCACCCTCCTGGGTCTGGGGGTGATCGGCGCCCGAGCCGGCGGAGACGCCGAATCTCCAGCCTTGCAAACATGGATTAAGGGGCCCTGGATTAGCGACGGGTCCAGTTTCGATGAGAAATCGCAGATTCCCGTCGCCGAACGAGGCGGCACAGGCCGCATTTGGGGGGAGGGCATCTCCCCCGATCCATGGATTTGGCGACCGCGCGCTAAATCCATGCATCGCTAATCCATGCTTGCGCGCCCCCAACAGATGGGCCCGAGCCGTGGCGCAGGCAACTCAGGCGTCAGCGCGCTCATGGGGTCCCGCCGATCCCTTCCGACCTCCTGCGGCGGAGTCGTAGAGTTTGGGAGCCTGCAGGGGTCAGTGAGTGTACGGCCCCCTGTGCAGGGCCTGTGATGCAGGGGCCCAGGAGGGCCCAGCATGCGCGAGGGCCGATGGGGGCCCGAGACCGTTGGAGAGTGGGTTTCCCTCCGCAGGTCATCGGGGCTCAAGAAACATCGAGCCTACATCGTTATCTCTGCAGAGCCGCATGGAGCTGGACCCTACCCAACAGCAGTGAAGTTGCATCCCGCCCAGGGCTCCTTCCGACCCCTCCAATTCGATTCGATTTCGATGGCTTCCGATTCCGATTCGATTCGACTCGGGAGTCCGATCTGGGTTCCGATTCTTTATTGAAGGCCTACTAGCCTGCCGATTCACGGCGGTTTGACTTTTCCTGACTCGGCTGCCGATTTTAGCCGATTCTATTCATTTCGATCGCCGATCCGACTCATCGATTCGATTCTGGGCTCTACTGCCCGTCCCTCCTCCGGTGTAGATTGCCCGTGTGCACGTTTTGCCCATTTCTGTCATGCAGACACCACGGCCAGATCCGCCTCGAGCTGCTGGTCGCAACGCGCACACGGCGAGGCCCAGGTGGGGTCGTCCATTGGCCTTCAGAACACTCGCCATCAAGCAGAGGCGTCCTGACCGAGGTAGACAGGGGTCATGGGCCTGCTCTCCACCACCACCACCATAGTTGGAGGGGGGGAGGCGCTGGAGGACGAGGAGGATGAGGAGGAGGAGGAGGACGAGGAGGAGGAGGAGGAGGAGGAGGAGGAGGAGGAGGAGGACTCCCTTCCCCTCCTACTTATGGTGGTGGTGGTGGTGGTGGTGGTGGTGGTGGTGGTGGTGGTGGTGGTGGTGGTGGAAAACAAGCCCACCAAGGGGCCCTGGAGGCTTCTCGCCGTTCTTGTTTGCTCGCATGACCGGGGCCCAAGCCAAGAGCTGCTAGGGACGAGAAGGCCTCAGGGTCCAGGGGCGGGCTCCGCCTTCTCGGGCGGGTGGCACTGGCGGGGGGGACCCAAATGGTGGGCGAAGGAGAGGGCCTTGAAGGGGCCCTTTGGGGCCTCCCCCCATGACCACCCGCCCGAACGGGGCCAGCTGGCCTAGACGAAACGCACCATCTGCACGCGTTTGTGCTCGGGTGGCCGCGCGGATGTCGTCGGTCGGCGTTGGTTGGGCCTCCCGCCCTTGGCCGCCCACTCCAAGAGGTTGACTCGCTTCTCGATGGCGTCGACTTCTCGTGCACCATGTCTCGGGCGAAGTTCGAGGAGATGAACCAGGACCTGCGGAGGAAGAGCAGTTGATGATGGGAGAGGGATCGGACACGAGGATGGGAGAAGGAGAAGGAGGAGGAGGCGGAGGAGGAGGAGGGGGAGGAGGAGGAGGCGGAGGAGGAGGAGGAGGAGGAGAGGGAGGGGGAGGGAGGGGAGAGGAGGGGAGGAGGAGGAGGAGGAGGAGGAGGAGGAGGAGGAGGAGGAGGAGGAGGAGGAGGAGGAGGAGGAGGAGGAGGAGGAGGAGGAGGAGGAGGGGAGTGATGAATATGATAAGGGTATGGAGGGCTGAGGCAGAGGGAATCTAATAATACAGATGACGATGAATTGCAAGAGCAGTAGAAGGGTGGGAGCAATTGGCCCGTGAGGAAGGGCCACGGCGTGGCACTCTTAAGGCCATAATCCCAGCCCGCACCCACACCCGCTCCCAACCTGCACCCAAAAGCCTTCGACCTCATTTTTGATCATACGTATGCTGCATGGGCGCTACATCGCATCTCGCATGTCTTGCCATCCAAGCCAGCTGGCTCTGGTGAGACCATGTCCTTCGGCAGTCGCAGGACCAAGATCCGTTTCGCAGTCCACCCGAATCACGCGTTGCGCTGGAGAAGCTCGGAGGTGCCTCCAAAGCTCACGGCCCATCGCGTGCAACAGAACCACATCTCAGGTTCTGAAAGGTGCCAGGCGTGCCACCATCCCCGCTTTCCCGCGCCCTCTCTGGGCGGGGCCCGGCAGAGCGCCAGCAGACGCGGATCCAGCATATGTCGGGGGTGGACAGACCTCCCACCCTGACACGTCGATTAATGAGGTGTCCGTCTTCGGTTCTCGAGAAGGCGCCGCGGCCGTCATTTTCCAGACTAGGGCCCGCCAGGTTTGGGCCGGAGGTCGTTTTCACTAAACCACGTTTTACTAAAGGGGGTTCTGTCCATCCCCGAATATGCCTCACCCCCACGGGCCCGCGTGCAGCAGAGGCCATTTCCTGGATCCCTGTGGGACGAAGGTTGGACGCGGAGAAGTTCGGGCGAGGATGAATCGGGAATCTCTGAGAGCCGGCGGGCTTGGAGGATGCATCCGGCTTCGCGGCCGTTCCAGGGCGTTCTGGAATGCTGTGAGGGCGTTCCAGAACGCTCTGTGGCGACCTATTATCCCCATCGTGCGCCTGCCTGCCTGACCCCGAAAATCCCACGCCTCGAGTCATGTTGACAATCGAGCGCCCAGGACACCCTCTCCACCCCTTCCATCAGGTTCGTCCTGGGCCAGAGCTCCCAGACAGACGCCGCTGGCTCCGTGACGGCACGGGCAGCAGAGATCTGGAGGAAGCAATGCCTTCACGCTCCTGCAGCGACTGGTGTCCCACGCCTCGAGGGAGAGAGGCTGCCCGAGGAGGCGGAGGACTGCGGGGCAGCGAGCGCCGGCCCGACTTCGGCTGCTCGGCAGGGGCGCGGCGGCCGAGGGGCCGCGGCAGGGCACTGGTCGGCGCAGCCAGGACCTCTTCCGGAAGTCCATGGAGTCCGTGGAGCGCGTGCTGCGGGACGCCAACGTGGACAAGAAGGCCGTAGACGAGGCGTGCGGGGGGCAGAGTGCTCGGGGAGCAAAACGAGTGTCAATGACACCCCGCCGCAGGGAACCGATCAGTGTGTTACTGTCGAATACAGTCAACCCGTATATCAAGGATGCACGGTAGGAGGGCCATGTTGACGTTTTTCGAACGAGGTTGGCCAGCGAAAGTCGCCAAGGATGGATGGGCAGAAGGAGCAAGGATGCACGGGTAGCCTTTGAACGTTGCTCATCCTTGCTATGCGGGTTGACTGTAAACACCAGGCACTTCGGGCAAGAACGAAGGAGTAGCACGCTGCCAGGCTCACAACGGCGGCGGCGTGTCCTTCATGTTCGTTTACCCTCCCAGTGAGCGCGAGATTGGACAAGCAACAGCATGAGCGTATAATTACATTCGGAGGTCCGCGACGTTTTCTTGGATCGGCGCTGGACCTCCCTGGCGTCGCCTCCAGCGCGGCCCCGAGCGCGGTCCTAGCGCCGGCGAGGGGGTATCATCGCCGATCCAAGAAATCATGCCTTCTTCTAGTGGAGGAGGACACGGACGAGGGCAAGCACGGGGATGCAGGGGCGTATGGGGGAGTGGGAATAGGCAGAGGGGGTGGAGAACGAGGAGTTGGAGCAATAGCAGCTTCAGGACGAGGGGGCAGAAGATTTCTTCCCGAAAATCCATACGGTAGATTCGCGTCGTGTCGACCGGCTGCGACCCCAGCGCGGGCGGGTAAAGTTGAACGCCGCCCGTGGCCCAGAATCGGCTCATCGTTAAACGATTCGGCGTGTCTGAAAGGGCCGATGTTCGCGGTGTCAGGAGTCAACGCCGTGGTCGACACGACGCGAACCTGTAGTGCGCAGTGTGCGCCCTCTTCGCTGGCCAGCTGGCTGTGGGCCGCAGGGGCAGTGAGAGGCGCGCCGCGCGTGGCGGTCAGGCACGAGTGTCTGGCACACCCGCCCTCCTGCGATGCCCGTGGGGTGCGCGGCGGTGGCGAGCAGTTCCTTGCTGACTGCATCGACGAAAACAACGCCGTAAACCTAAACTTTTGGCGCTCCGCGCGGCTTTCTTGGATCTGCGCTGGGCCCCCTGGGCGGCGCCTCCGGCGCCGCCCCTGGTGCGCTCCGCGCTCCAGGGAGGCGGGTCCAGCGCAGATTCAAGAAATCCGCGCGGAGCGCCAACCAGTTATGTTCATGTATCTTCTTGTTGTTCTTTCTACTGCAGTGGTGACACGCAGGAACAGCTATCCCTAACAGCAGTAACGCGCTACCGAAAATGATGATGACTAAGATGGGGAAGAGGAGGGATTTGGCCGATGCGTGGTCGCACACTGCCGCACGCTCCACCTTCCGCCACGCGCTAGCGGGCTCTGCCGCCGCCCGATCAGATGTCGGGCGCACGGCAGAGCCCAAACGCAGGGCAGGGAGGACCCCTTTTTCTTTCTACTGCAGTGGTGGCACGCAGGAACAGAAGTTTTGTGTCTGGTGGACTGGGTTCGCGAGGATCTGCTCGATGCGTCAGCGAGTGAAACATGCGTCCAGCAATTTCGATGCAGAGGAAAAGCTAATTCATGCAACCCTCCCGTGCGTGTTTTCTCCGAAAGGAAAATTTATCGAAGGAGGCAACGCCCATCAATGGCAGGCGGCTCTCGTCAACTTTGGCGCGGTCTCTGAGAAGCGTCGTGATTGACAGTGCAGCACGGGGTATGTTGGTTGTCTGGGGCGATTGGCTATGTGTGCATGGGTGTTTCACAGAACTGCCTCGCAGTTTGACTTTTCGGGGCTCGAGAGACGGGGATCGGTTCAAACGGGGGTCAGTCAGAGCGCCAGGTTTTGCAGAATCTTGCAGAGTGAGGGGTGCTGCATTGACCCGGGCTTGCGTGCAGGATCTTGCAAACATGATTGACCAGGGTTTGCATTGACCCAGGTCAGTAGATCCACGAGATATTGATGCACAGAGGCAGGATATGAAGTGAACCGGGGGTGTTCTCGAAGAGTGTTGCAATCATGTATCGCAGGCCAGGGTCATGTTTGGAAGTTCAGAGGTTTAGTCGGGTGACGCGAAGTTGCCAGACACATTGGAAGAGGAGGAGGATGAGGAAAGAAGGAGGTCAATGATAAGAGTGAGAGTCATACATCGGAATACGTAAGGACGTTCGGGAGGAGAAGGGAGAATGAGGAGGAGGAGGAGGAGGAGGAGGAGGAGGAGGAGGAGGAGACCGACGACGACTACAGCAGGAGGTGGAGGGGGGGAGGAGGCGGAGGAGGAGGAGGAGGAGCACAGCCACGACCAATACCTTGACTACATCACGACGTCGACGAGTCACAGGGCCATGCAGAGGCAGATTGGCAGAAACAGCATCAGTTGCGGCGGTGGCATCCATAAGAGGAAGGGCCGTGAGCAACATAACTTCTATGCGCACCGCTTGCTTGCGAGGTGGTCCTGATAGGCGGTTCCACGCGCATACCAGCGGTGCAGAAGATCATTGAAAGCCATTTCGGCAAGGACCAGCGGAAGCAGGAGGAAAAGGATGAGGAAAGGAGGCCTCTTTGGGAGGCGATGGGGTCCCAGGGTCCGCCTAACAGTTTGGCCCCTCCCCCTCCCGTCAGGCGTTCGGGCGTCGTCGTGTCTTGCAGTGGACGTGGCATCGAGGCTGGAGTTCAGATGATGCCGAGGCTTGGAGCGAGGCTTGTTTTGTGCCCGTGAGCAGCTGCGGATCGAGCGTGGCATGAGAAGGAGTACGAAGCGACGCATATCAGGAAAGAGCAGCAGAGAGGTCGAGGGAACGAGGGGGAGAAGGACGAGGGAGGAGGGCGGGGATGAGCTGTTTGAGAATGTGGCAGGAGGAGGAGGAGGAGGAGGAGGAGGAGGGAGGAGGAGGAGGAGGAGAGAGGCGAGAGGTGACAGGTGAGGAAGAAGAGGAGGACAAGCAGACGCGGGGAGGCCAGGGGGCGGGGGAGGAAGAGGTGGAGGAGCAGCACCAGAGGGGGGTCAAGCTTCCCCCTCCGAACCGGGGGGCCAGGGCCGGGGCCTGGGCCGGGTGGTCGGAGGGGGCCGGCCGGGGGCGGGTCCGGGGCAGGGGTCGGAGCCCCGGGCCGAGGCCAAAGCCGAAGCCAGGGCGGAGGCCAGGGCCGGGGCCGGGGGCCGGGGCCGGGGGGCGGGGACGGGGCCGTTGTGGGTTGCCAGCGGTGATGATGCTGCTTCTGATGAAGATTAGTGAGGAGGAGGAGGAGGAGGCGGAGGCGGAGAAGGAAAACGAGGACGGAGACGTGGATGAGGATGAGGCGAAGGATGATGATGATGATGATGATGATGATGATGATGATGATGATGATGATGATGATGATGATGATGATGATGATGATGATGATGATGATGATGATGATGATGTGATGATGATGGTGATGATGATGGTGATGGTGATGTGTGATGTGATGATGATGATGATGATGATGATGATGATGATGATGATGATGATGATGTTGATGATGATGATGATGCTGATGCTGATGCTGATGCTGATGCTGATGCTGATGCTGATGCTGATGCTGATGCTGATGCTGATGCTGATGCTGCTGATGCTGATGCTGATGCTCATGCTCATGGTGATGCTCATGGTGATGGTGATGCTGCTGCTTATGCTGATGCTGCTGATGATGATGGTGCTGATGATCATGACGATGATGATTGTGGTGGTGATGGTGATGACGATGCTAATGACGCCCCAGAACTGAGTGAAGGTTGCATTTTATGTCCCGCCCGCCATTCCGACTGAAAATTACATCCTTGAGTGAATTGTGAATTGAATGTCCCGCCCTTCCGAACGGCCTTCGCTGTGGTTGTGATAGGTGTTCCCCCAAACTCGTCCCATCACAGTGGTAAGGTTGCATTTCATGTTCCGTCCGCTCGCCCGACTGAACGCTCCATCATTGAGTGTATAGCACATTTAGTGTCCCGCCCACCCGAATGACGTCCCCAGTGGTTGTCATGTATGTTCCCCCAATCTTGCCCCATCACCGAGTGCAGGTTGCATTTAATGGCCATCGCCGTCGCCGTCGCCGTCGCAGTCGCCGTTTTCGGGTCGCAGTCGCACGCTCAAACCTGATTTCAAAGCTCCTACAAAGTCCACATAATGCTCAGACAAATCTCAACTGAAGCTCACACATAGCTCAAGCATAGCTCAAACAAAGCTCAAACAACGCTTACATAAAGCTCAAACAACGCTCAACCAAAGCGCAAACACAGTTCACACACAATTCAAATAAAGCTCCAACAAAGCCCAAACAAAGCGCAAGCAATTCTCAAGCAAAACTCCAACAAAGTTCAAGCAACATTCAACCTCAGCTCAAACAAAGCTCCAACAAACTCAAACACAGTTCAAACACAGCTCAAACAATGCTCAAACACAGCTCACCCACACACATCTCAAACCAAGCTCAGCCAAAGCTCAACAGGAGCTCAGCACACAGATCCATCAAACTCCAAACAGCTCTCAACCAACACTGAAACAAAGCTTCAACAGAGCTCAAACAAATCTCAAACCAAACTGAAACAAAGCTCGAACAGAGTTCCAAATATGGCCAACAGCGCAAACAAAGCTCACACAAAGCGCAACGATCAACAAAAACTCATAC